TAAATTGCCCAGGCTGTGATGGCAAACCTTTCAGAGCTTTCAATGATACACACAGCCCACTGCGGTGTGTGTGCCACAGGGTCGCCTCCACTGCCCCAGAGACATTTAGTTCTATAGCTAATGTTTAAACATTTAATAGTTGTTTGGTGCCATGTATTATAAATCTTTAATACACTGAGCACTAAACACATTCATATTTTTCATGCATAAAAGGCCTCCAGCCATTTAAAAAAATAAAAGGTCAGGGCTGTAACTGGTCAGTGCGTGCTCCCTCCTAGAACTGGTTCCTTTTCATTACACAGGCTTTCGATTGCTCTACAAGTGACCATCAAAGACACCAGAATATGAGGTGATTTTCACTTTGGATTGAGCTAATGGGAGTACAGCTTTTCTTTTGACATTCTTTCTGAATACCATCCCCCATGAGCATCTGTCACTTTTTTAAAAAGACAAACATTTCTTCAGGAAAAGAATGTGGCCACCTACCGCAAAGGTGAGTCTCTATACCAGGAAAAGCTGAACACTGGCTCCGGGGCTGCTATGGCCACTTCTCTTTGGATCTGGACCCTAGAACATCCAGCTAAACTGCCACCAGGATAACTGAGTGGGAGGCAATGAGACCATACCAGAAATAAGATGAAAAGGTGAGGGGGTGGGAGGGAAAGGGAGAGCACACGGCAGCAGGAGCTGGGGCTAGAACCCTGGCAAGCCTGGTAGCTGAACCCAAGTGAAGACAACAGCACAGGGGACAAGTTTGGTCAGGGCCCAGAGCTAACTGGAGATCAAGTCAGGCCCACAGGTGGGGGCAGGAGGAAGGCGGTCCCAGCAAGCTTAGCTACCTAGGCAACCCTCCTGCCTAGCTCCTGAGCTATAATCAGCATCTCTGAGCTTCCCAGTTCTCTACCAGGAAATGACAAGTAATGATAACTCTCTACACCAGCATGCTGCTATTGCTGCAGTCAAGTGAAGAAGTCATGCTCCCTCATTTCCGGCATTCTGTGCAACAAGGGAGGACTTGCCACACTACCAGAGGGCTCCGCGATCCAACTTCCAGCGTGTCTGGTGCAGCAGGGAGGAATGCCAGCTCATGTTGTGACTGGCCTCTGCACCATGGCAGGGGATAGTTTCGATAGAAAAGCTTTGGGTACACTTGGGACTCCTCAGTGCCATAGTGCGAGGCAGCCGTACATGGTGTTAGAACAGAGCAAATAGAAGGGGCTTCTCTCAGAGAATGCTACTTACTCTGTATATATTGCTTTCTATGCTATTGAAGGTCAGATCTGGGGAATGACAGAACCCAGTAAGTCCCCTCCAGGATGATAAAAAATAATGGAAATGTATATGATGAATAAATGAGAAACAAAGTCCCAGAAATCATATCAGCATTTGCATACAATTGATAGAAGAAATAAAAATTGTTCATTCTTGTTTAGTACCATCTATTCCAAGCACCATGAGAGCCAAGGCAAACATACATTTGTAAGCCTCTGTGCTTTCCATACAATTCCAGAAGACGAGTAATATGACCAAAAAGGAACTCAGCATGCCAGTTCTTTACAAGCTGCTAAATACGAGTGTCCCAAGTGTCCACTTGAGACGATCAACTCGAGCTTACACAAGGCACCTCACAAGCAGGCCGTAGATCTGGAGATTAGCACTGGGATGCAAAGACGGGATAATGGCATTTAATTACCAGTAGCTGGCTCGGCAGGTTCCCCAAAACAGTACTAGCTGCGGTATTATGTGATCATGCTAAGCTCTGAAGAATGAAGAATGAAACTATTTCTCAAAATAAGCACTTTCACACTGGAAGATTTGAGAAAGCCTGCTGGCATAAAGATGTTATCCACACTTTTAGAATATTTTGCTGAGTTTACACACCTATAATATTCAACAACGGAACTTAAAAAAAAAATTGGTGTATAACTATGAATGTCCATTTTGTATCTGTGTATTCAAAGTGGTTGGGATATCCCCGGTTCCGCAAAATAAAAAAAGTATGTGTACAAAGTGGTTGGGATAGATATATAGTTGCATTCTCTTAATGAATAGAATGATTTTTTCTAATGGTGTTTGTAAGTAGGATCACAAGTCTGCATCTTGTACAGCAATTAACCACTAAGAAGAATATATGCAGTATATTATTTGTTGAAACTGTACTTTCGATTTGATTTGAAACTGTCTCATTGCTATATGTTTATCAATAAAACTTTGAAAAGAAAAAAAAATAAAAAAAAAAAAAAAAAAAAAAAAAAAAAAAAAAAAAAAAAAAAGATGTTATCCACAGAGGAGAAGGCAAGCATAAAAGTGGCATTTCTGCCCTTTCGTCTCAGCCGCCGATGTGCCCTCCAGACTAAGAAAGACCCGGAAGCTTCGGGGCCATGGCCGCATCGGCAAGCACCAGAAGCACCCCGGAGGCCGGGGTAATGCTGAAGAGAAGATTAAGGGTGTTGGGGGCACCTGTGTCCTGGTAGCTTGAAGCTTCTGGACAGGAGGCTCATTAAAATGCTAACAAATGGTTTTCATGTTTTGGTCTGAGTATAGGTTCTTCATCATGTGTAGATCTCTTACCTCTACATTGGGAACCCATCTGACAAGTTCCAAGAATAATTGGGGGCCCTGGCCCTCAAAGTATATCCAAGAGATAGCACCAATGGAACCTTTTGGAACCTTCTCATTTGGTGGGAGTAATTGCTGGTGATGGTTGAAATACATACCAAAAGCCCTGTTGGCATTGTTCTGGGTTTCATAGCAAGTAGGAGAATGTACCCATAACTGTTCTGTGGGGCTGGAAAGGGAAAATTTAGTCATCTTGGACTGAACCATCTCATTACAACCAGAATATGCCAAGTTGAGACCTTTGACACATAGCCCCCTAAAGTGAAATTTAAACCTCTATGGGTTTTATAGCTCTTTTTGAAATTTTAAATTTGTTTTGACCCATAGCAGTCTGGTATCCTGAGCAAAGAAATAACTAAGGTGTCACATAATGGGTTTCAGTTGGAGGGTGGGCTGGAACCATGACTTTTGGGACAAGCCTATTGTAGGGGCTTTTACCTTTTAAAAGGATGCTGATCCTTGAGTATAGGGTAGAGAATTGAATTGGCTTGGGTCAGAGTAGAGCTTCAAGAAAGGAAAACTATCCAGTTGGAAAGTCTGGACCCTTCTGGTTTGCCTCTTTATAATGGTCTAATGAAAGGTAAAAAGAAAAAAAAAAAAAAAAAAACAAGGGCACTCCACTGAGATTTCTGTTACAGGGCACCCAGGGTTGAACCCAGTGCCTTGACTGTGCTGCTTCTGCAGTCCCTGGTCTTAGTAAATTCCAAGGCTGGGCTTTGCTTGTGATCCTGCTTCAGACTTGAGTGCTGCTGTACAGATAGGACTCAGCACCTCCAGCTTTCCCTTCACTTTGTGATGCACTGAATCCACATTCACTGGCATTTGTTGGCTCACTGCTGTATCTTCAGTGCCTTAACTCAAAAGTTAGGCCCTCCCAAGTGGAGGGAGACCTACAGCAGATGGGCTTCCAGCTTTTGTACATACACCTTTAAAAAACAATTGTGAGGGAAGCAAGATAACGCACCAACTAAGGGCCTGCTGAGGCAAGCACAGGGACCAGGGTTCCAGACCCACCAACTCGGCATGGCGCACGCCTGTAATCAGCACTTAGTAGGCTGAAAAACGGTCCAAGCTGCGTAATAAAATTCTGTAACAACCAAGTACATTAAATTTGTGAAAATGATACTAAGCAAAAAAAAAAAAAAAAAAAAAAAAAAGTGGCATTTCCCCCAGTTATGCTAAGTTATTAGAATTTAAAAATCATAGGTAAGGTGCCTCTGTTTGTTCTATATATCTCCCAGCTGCCACCTTCCAAAGAAGTCCTACAAGTACTGCCTGGGTGGGGGCATCAAATTACAGGAATAATAAAAAATTCTTCCCCAGAAGACCAGCACTGTGATGAATTATTGTAGAAACCTTTTCCTTTGGAGAGGAAAAAAGTCAGAAAGACATTAACATAAACCCCTAGGTAGAGGATTTTGCCAGGAAAATGACTGCCGTGATATAAACACAAGGCAGATGTTGTAAAGGAATTTAAAGTTTCACTAGGCATGAAGTCTTCCAACTATTACCTGTCCATATACAAGACAACGGACAGCCACAGCTCGAGTTTTAGAATCAGTTTTGTTACCATCTAAAAAAAAATATCATTTTTTCCAAGCTAATAATATTTTTTAAAAAATATTTTTTTTATATTCTACCAGTTAACTGGCAGAATATCATCATTTTCAAAAATTAATTTCTCTAAAACCATGAATGTGTCTAATATAAAACAACTTCTGTGTTTGGTTTTTTATCTTTGGTATACAAGTTCTATTGAACAGGAGAAAGTTTAAAAAACCTACATGTACAGTATATTTTCCTAATAGGTGGTAAGAATTGAGTCATGTTGATCATTTTAAGAAGAATCAAAGCCAAATCATAATGACTACTAATGCTGTTCATCTGATGTATTTTATCAACAACTGTAAACCAGATTATCACTCAAGAATACAGTAGCATATTATTATGGTATTCTTTGAGTTTTCAAACTTGAAATTATCTCCTTCTACTTACAGGTCTTTCATTAATTTTCTGGTTTTATAGTTTGAATTATATTTAAAAAAATCAGGACAGCATTTTTCAAATTCAAGGATGGTTTTTATGTGACAATTCTTTTAATTTTCTACCAATAAATTTGAAATTGAATGTCCAATAATAAAAAGTCCTCCAGGTAATTAAATTCACTTATAATCTTTAAAACTGAAATTGCAGCTTTATTTATTTATTATGTATTTGGTACAGGGTCTTACTATGCAGCCTGTGCAGCATGTGGTGCTGGGGAACCCCAATCCCTGTGACTGCCTAAGCAGGTGCTTAGTTTGCTGAGCTATCTCAGTGGCCCTCTGTAGTTTTCTTTAAATGCACTTGCTAAGAAGTCTCTTAGCATATCTCTTTCTCACCTCAGTGCATGAATACAATATATCATTCTTGGTATGTTTTTCCGGTCATAGACATCTGTTGTTTCTGGATAAAATATCTGAAAAACAAAAGAGACAAAGTGTGCTTCTCAGAATTATTTCAGTTGCAGAGATAACCCAGTCCTAATCGCTAGTTTATGGACCTACATTTAGAGGACCCTCTTCACCTCTACAGACCAATCTTTGTATCTAGTGTCGTGCCCCAGGGCACGCCCCCCAGTGGCCCATGGGCCAGTGATGTGTCCCCCTTTCTGGTCCCTAAGGAAGGGTGGCAGTTTCTCTCCTTAAAACTTACTCCTGTGACTGCCCTGAAACAGAGGCCTGCTCACAGCTACTCCATTATACTGTTAAAAACCTGGTACACTGCTGTGTAAACATGAGTGCATGTATGTATAACACACATGTGGAAGATTTTTTTCTTTTCTACTTACATGCATATTCATCAAATAACATCTAGAAAGTATATAAAACTATGAAGGAAAAATACCCAGTCACTATTAGCATTCTGGTATTTTTTTCTGTATGCATCTGTGATTTTTGTTTTTTGTTTTGCGGGACTGGGGATTGAACTCAGGACCTTGCGCTTGCCAGGCAAGTGCTTATTCTACTGAGCTATCTCCTGGATTTAAGCTTATGTATATGAAAACAACTTTGTACCTAGAATAAGCCTGTTTAAAACTTGTTTAAAAGACCTAATAGAAGATGATAATTTTCCATCTCCTTCATTATGCTCAGAAAACATGACTTCTAATGAATGTGTATGATTCTTCCCTTTTTTTCATCTGACCTTCCCATTCCCCATGGAGAACATTTACTTCACTCTCAGTTCTCTCCCTATTCTAAGCCACTGCCATGACCATCCCAGCTTTCCTAAGCTGCTTCTTTTTTTTTGGAAGTACCAGGGATTGAAGTCAGGACCTTGCACCTGCCAGACAAGTGCTTATTCTACTGAGCTATCTCCCTGGCCCTCCTAAGCTTCTGATTTCTGCTGCTGTATTCATTTGGATATGGAACCACTAGGCTGAAAAGCCTAAACATTGAGACTTATAGTAGACACTTGCACTACTTTACCTAAAACTGAAACTACAAGCCTGGCAAGAGACCTTTTGGAGCAGAGCAGCAGACTTCTCCATTCCTAAACCTGAAAAAAGAAACAACTGGCTGTGACGCTTCTAATATTAAAACTATGCGCCAGTATTGCTTCCTTTGGTAGATACTTTACACAACTGGACATAAAAACTAAAATTAAATCATATACCATATGGTACTACTCCACAATAGAGTGAACTTTTCTACTGGATATTTTAAAAAGCAGAGAAAAGAAAAAAGCAAAGTGCCTTGTGCTAACAATGGGCAGCTCCTACAGACTTCAAGAAAGGCCTGGGGCCTGGGCAATGTCAAGGGCCTTTCCAACCTTCCTTTACCCTGCGTGCTGGCCAAGTGCAGTGGGAAAGAGGCTCTAGAAGCCGAAGAGTGTCACTGTTTGAAGTTCTATGCGAGCAGAGAACAGTGACAGCATTCACTGTACACCTCCCTGGACTGTTAGCAAGTCTCCCTGTCCTTTTATTCAAGCAAGAAACTTCTATATTTATATTCTCCAGGAAAATCCTCACAAATGAGAGTTCCTGGAGCAAGCAGACGGGATCAAATAGTACTTAACCAGATGGCTTTATCTGGTCTTGTGTCTCCAGCACCTACAATGACGACGAGCAAAGTGAGCATTTACTACTGGCAAGTGAGGGGATTAGTGGCAGTCATGCACATCAGAGACACTTGCTGCGCTCTTCCTCTCACACCCCTGCAATGCAATACAGTGATGACTTCGTGATAAAAATAAACGTTAAAACAGAATCTGCTGTCCAAGTTACTTGTTGGGCCTCCAAATATACAATCTGAAGAGGTTTAAGTGGAATCTATCAAACAGGGTGAATTTCTCCTAGTCAGATGCAGCTCCACTCAGAAAACCCCTATTCACGTTTCCTTCTGTTTCTCTTGCAGCCCCTACCCGGTACCTGCTAATCTCAGTCTGGGAGTACACAGTGTGTATGAGGATGACTGCCCAGAAGGCAATGCTGGCAAATGTTCTATGCACTTTAAGAGAAGGAAAACTGGTTTGATGGTTGTGGCAGAATAAAATAAATATTCATAATTTAGAAAAAATATGAAGAGCCAGTGAGATAGCTCAGTGGACTAAATGCCTGCTTAGGCAAGCTCAGGGACCCCTGGCATCACATGCTGCTCTGGCCCCGCCCTCAGGCATGGTGAGCCAGCCACCGAGACCGGGAATGGTGGTGCACCCCTGTAATCCCAGTGTTTGGGAGGCTGAAAACAGGAGGATTGCTACAAGTTGGAGCTGCATAGTGAGATCCTGTACCAAATACATTAAAAAAAAAAAAAAAAGACTGCCATAGAGCTAAAATAAGCACAGATATATTGAAAATGATCATTCATAATTTACATGCAAGAATCTTTTGCTCTTGCTCTGGTAGGTGTTTTTAATAGCAAACCTGACATAATAATAAGATGGCAACACAGAAACCCATAGTGTAGTCGCAGTCCTCGAGTTGGTCCTTTCCCAAATCATTTCTTTAACTAGCTGTACATAGGAAGCCATGCAAAAGACAGAGCTCTTGACATATAGGAAAAGCAGGTGGATCTGCAGTACAACATGCTCAGTGGGAAAAGTTCAGTGTCAAAAGCTAGCTGTAATATCTCATTGACATAATGAAATAATGACAACAAAGGAATACTGGCTGCTTGCGACAGCACTGGGGAGGGATGTGACATAAAATACTTCTCTGTGTATACATGTCTGGACTGTGGTAGTGGCCACCCCAATCTATTTGTGGCATTCAACTATGCAGAACCACACACATCCACACTCACAAATCAATGCAGGTAAAAAACGGGGGAAACCAAGTAAGCTCTGAAGGCTAATTTGCACTACTACTCTAGTGTCACGGGAACATCATTTGGCAGTTATGCCTCTACTGAGGGGAGGCTGACGGAAGGGTACTCCAAATGCACTATTTTTATAACTTTATAATTATGGTTCTATAATTCTTTCAAAATAAGAAATAGCTGTACACTTTTTATCACTACAATTTCCTCACTCTCTTCAGCCTCTATTTCTCTTACAGACTTAACGATGCCTGTTCTTTTAATTTAACAAGCACCAAATACTTACTGGACAAATTTTATTTGGGAAATTTCAATAACAAGAGCTACAACCCCCTAGCTTTTTAAATATAAATTTTTTTTCTTTTTCTTCAGCATCGGGGATCGAACTTAGGGCATTGTGCTTGTTAGGTGGGCGCTTATGCTGCTGAGCTAGCTCCCCAGCCCTTGAATATAAAGGGATTTATAAAAATAATTTATAAAATAAGCTTATAATAATTTATAGTGCTATGAGACAGAATATTTAAAGTGTAATCAGAAAAGCAATAAATGGGGGGAGGGCTGGCGAGATAGCTCAG